AGGCGGGGAGGCAGCGGCTGCTCTGCCCCCCCCGGCGCGGAGCCCGGGCGGGGGGCGGCGGCGGCCCCGGGGTCAGCGGCGGCGCGGCGCGGCGGCGGAGGGCCCGAGCCCCATGCGGTTGTTTGTGTTTGAAATTCAATTGCTCCCTCCCTCCGCCGCCACCCTCCCCCCCTCCTTTTCCCTTTTCCCTTCCTCCTCCTCCTCCTCCTCCTCCTCCTCCTCCCGGTGGATGCGCTCGGAGGTTCGTGCAGCGCTGCCTTGGGCGCGCAACACCCACCGCCCGCCCACGGGGCCGCGTGTGCGAGGGGCGGGAACCCGGCACAAAAAAAAAAGAAAAAAAAAGAAAAAAAAAAACCGAGAGGGGACGGGAATGTCCCCAGGCCGCAGGTGGCACTGGGGGCTGGCGATGCTTCCAGCCCGGATGTGTCACGAGGAGCAGGGACATGGCCCGGGGTGGTGGCGCCCCGGCCGCGGGCTGGCCCTGGAAATGGAGGGGTCTGGCGTAAAAATCGGTGTAAAGCCGTGCAAAATCGATGGGAAATAGGGCAAAATGAACGTGAAACAGCGCAAAATCAGTGGGAAACAGTGCAACAGTGGTATAAACCCGTACAGAAACTGGGGTGAGCCCATGCAGAATCTATGTGTAACAGGGCAAAATCTATGTAAAACTGGTGTGAAACAGCGCAAAACTGGTGTAAACCCGTACAAAATCCATGTAAATCGGTGCAAAATTGGTGTGAAACTGGCATAAACCAGTGCAAAACTCGTGTAAACTCGTGCAAAGTCAATGAAAACCAACGTAAAATTGGTGTAAACCCGTGCAAAATCAATGAAAAAAAATGCAAAACCGTTGTAAAACCTTGTAAAATAGTGTAAAACTGTGTAAACAAGTGCAAAGCTGATGTAAAACCATAAAACAGTGAAAAACTGATGTAAAACAGTGTAAAACCAGTGTTAACCAGTGCAAAACTGGTGTAAAACTACCTAAAACAGTGCAAAACTGGTGTAAAATAGTACAAAACCCGGTGTCAACCCATGTAAAACCAGTGAAAAATTGGTGTGCAATGGAGCAAAGTGGTGAAAAACTGGTGAAAAAACAGCATAAAACCAGTGGGAAACCATGTAAATCTGCAAAAATGGTGTAAAACTGTGCAAAACCCGGTGTAAAGCATCACAAAAATGGTGCAAAACCATGTAAAACAGTGCAAAACTAGCATAAACCATTACAAAACAGGTGTAAAATCATGTGAAACAGTGAAAAAATGGTGTAAAACAGTGTAAGAGTGGTGTAAAACTGGTGCAAAATTGGTGTAAGACAGTACAAAACTGGTGAAAACCCACATTTAACTGGTGCAAAACTGGTGAAAAGTAGTGCATAAAGGGTGCAAAACTGGTGTAAAACACCACAAAACTGGTGCAAGGCCACACCAAACAGTGCAAAACTGGTGTAAACCACCACAAAAATGTTGTAAAACCACGTATATTCGTGTATAACAGGGCAAAACTGGTATAAAACACTGCAAAACCGCTGTAGACCCAGTGGCCAACCTTTAAAAAAAATAGAGAAAATCAAGGATTGGGAGCGTTTGGTGCCCACCCAGGGCCCCCAAGGGTGTTCCCTCAGAACCCCCCAGTTCTGCAGAGGTGTTGGAGATCCCAGGATTGCTCGGGGCTCATGGAATTAAGTGTGCAGGGAAATCTCTGGGTGTCTGGGCAGGGGGTTTGGGTCCCATCCAGCCTCAGTGTGGGGTTATGGAGTGACAGAGTCAGCAGAGGAGTAAATAAATCACCTTGGTCCCAGTTTCAGACCAACCTCGGGTACTGGTGTCCCTGTCGGGGTGAGGGGCTGCAGGCCAGGCCCCTCCTGCAACCAAACACCTGGGATTAAATTAAACCCAGATTTAAGCCCTTTCCAAGACCAGAACCTCCACCCTGACCTGGCAGTCGGGGTTCCAGGGCTGGGCTCCTTTCCTTCCATCCCTGCCTGCTTTCCTTGGCTTCATTTCTCCCAACGAGCCGCAAAAGTAACACAAATAAATAATCCTCGGGGTCACAGCTGACAGCAG